GGGGGCGGCCGCGTTAGCCCTGGCTCTGCCCGCGCTCAGCGCACCTCTCCCCTTGCAGTTCCTTGCCTCGGTGACCGTCATGGTCCTTCTGACGCTCGTGACGGTCGCCCTGGACCCTCCGAGGAAGTTACCGGACTTATTCTCTGTACTGGTGTGTTTTGTATCCTGCTTGAACTTCCTGTTCTTCTGGGTGTATTTTAACGTTATAATCATGTGGGACTCCAGAAATGAACGAAATCGGAAGAAAATCAACTAGCTGTACTTCGAAACAGACGGGAACTTCCGTATGCCCAAGTTGCCGCTTTGAGAATCGTGGAACCCCAGGAAAGGGTGCCGAAGCGCCGCTACGCCTGCACGAAACAAACGTGCCTGGAGACCACAGGACGCTTCCCCTTTCTCTGTGTTGCTGGCCAAAGCAGATTTGTAGCTTTATTAACCGCTATTCAAGTGGTCAAATAAAGGGGAAGGTGCCACTAACCCCAGAACTTACTTAGGAAATATGCTCCGCGTCTTAAAGAAATGGCAGGTATAGTGCACTTACTGGAAGTCTGAAGCCCCTTTGTAAGGAAATCACTAATACTGGTGCTCACATTTAGTTTTCTTTGCAGTTCAGCGTGAAAGTAACGTGTTTCATTGTTTAGAAGTTTTATCTCAGGGAAGTGCGTTTGTGATAATCACTCTGAGCTACTTGAATCTGAGTATGCCTTATTACATATGCACGTTTGACTTTCATCGCAAGGCAAACGGGTTGAGCACTGTGACTTACTTCCCGGGACCAGGCTTGCTTGAGTCCGTTTACAGGCTGTTTCCCGAGGTTTCGTGTTCTGAGTCTAGGCGAAGTCTTCATCATCGTGATGGCTCATCCTGCACCTGCTGTGGTGTGTGCAGGCCCGGCTGCTGCAGCCAGTCTGCTCCCCTCATCAGGGCGGGTGCGGGCACGGCTCTGTCCAATGGCAGGGCCCCACCACACCGCCTCTGGAGTAATGTGTTCTCCTGTGTTGTAGCTGCTCACTTAAAGGTGTTTTCCATGTCCGTGATAAAAATAAAACTCATCCCCGGGCCGCGTGCTGGTGACTGCTTCTTCGGAAGGTGGCTGTGAAAGCACGGAGCAGCTGGGGCTTGGCCTGAGAGAGCAGCACCGTGCTGGGACAGTGGAGCCCGGACAGCGCCAGGCCCTGTCAGCTTCGCCTTTTAAGGGTGCGTAGTAGCGCACTTGCACCCAGCACGGGATGCCGACTTCGGTGCAGGCAGAGAAGGTGCAGGTACAGCCTGTACCAGGCCGGGAGAGGTGTCACCTGAGGAGCGCGGCCTGAAGCTCAGCGGGGTGCCACGCCTGGCCCAGGCGGAAAGGAAAGCCGTCACTCCAGTCAGTCCTCAGCCTTACCTGTGAGCAGAGCTCCTCTCACGTTCGTCAGAAAGCAGCTTCACAATGGACTTTAAACAGGGAGGCATTAGATTCCAAAGTAGCAAAAAATAGTGGTAAATGGGCAGTTCCAAAGCATTCCGCAAGCTGAACTCAAGGCCATGGGGACGCATTCATATTCAGGACACATGCTGATAGGATTTCTCACTTCCTTCACTCACAGATCTGGCAAGGAGGAACTGTAGGGGCAGGGGTCTTCTGAGGACCGGGGCGGTGGGCAGCAGGCGCCTCTCCGCGCCCCACACCGGACGCGTGCCCAGGTGGCCCTCCCCGGAGGCTGAGGGAGGAGAAGCCCTGAGGGCGCGTCCTGCCGGGTGGGGAAGCCGGTGAGTGCACGTGCGCACAGGCAGGCGGGCGGGGGCCCCCCGCCGGCCGCCCCTGCGCAGCCTTGGCTTCTCTGCTGCCCCTCGTGTGGCCTCCAGGGCGTTACGCGAGTTACCTGACCGACAGGCAGCGAGGGGCCTGACGCCGCTCTTGGGCCCCTGCCGCGGCGGAGGCCGCAGCCGCTGAGCGCCGGCCCGCTCTCCACCCTTGCTCCCAGAGAAGCAGCTGCGTGGCCCCGGCTCGGCCACAGCTGCTGTGACCCCTGGAACGTCCAGGTCCCAGTATTCTTGGTGTTAAGCGCACTGTCTTCAAGTGTTATTTTCTAAGTAGAAAACGAGTTGTTTTCAATCTTGATTTGTTAAATTTTATTTCAAACTTTCATACAGTATTTTTATTTTATGATACACTGAATCAAATGATGTGAGAAAATTTAAGGCAACTACTAAGATACCCCACCGCAGAAAATGTCACTGAATTTTTGAACAAACTGATGAAGTTATGACATTCTGACACTGTTTCATGGGTGGCATTAACAGACCGCACCGCCAGTGTCTAAGCCACGTGACTCGGGTGGGACGATACACTCCCCGGGGCTTCCTGGCCTCTGTGCAGTGCAGTCTACAGACAGCTGTGCTTTCTGATGTTTTGGCTAAGTGTAAACATACTGGAAAGTAGATTCTCCTGTCTTATAAAATGAAATTTCAAAACTGAAAATACTTTTCTCTATAAGCATAGGAAAGAACTATAGTGTCATAATAATAGCTCATCCCTGACATAGTAGCTACACAATAAACTTCTAAAAGTTAAAAAAAAAGCCTGACAGTGACACATGCCTGTCATCCCAGCACTTGGGAGGCTGAGGCAGGAGGATCACTGAGTTCAAGGGTAGCCCTGGACTAAACAGTGAGACTATCTCAAAAAATAAGCAGCTGGGGCCGCGAGTGGGAAAGCGGTGCCCAGTTGTGCTCACTACTGGGTGGAACCTGAGTTCCGGGAAACGGAGTGTCATCAAGGCAGTGTGTTTCCTACCTGTCCGTGCGCCACAACTGCAGAAACACGTGGCACCAAATAGAAGCCCGGCTCCCCACTCTGTGTGTACTTGCAGTGAAGGGTCAAGAAGAAATGTATTATTTACATTGAGATCACCCACTGGTGTGTGTAGAAAGTTTAAATTAGCTGCAAGAAACTTTATCTAGACCTGCACCTGCCTAGGGCTCGAGCTGGTATTTACTGGGCAGATTAGTTACAAACTTCTCTTCTGTCCGGTAAACACGATCAGGCAGATGCAGCAGCCGTGCCCAGGAGCGCTTCTCTCCTAAGTGCCTGCGGGTATAAAGAGGATCACGTCACTGTGGGTCGCTCGCAAGATAACGTGCCTCTCACGCACTGCCTAGGACGGGACTTGACACCGCTGGGCGTGCGCGCCGGGCCCTGCGCTGGCTCGCTCTGCATCTTCCCCGTGACAGTCCCTTTTGCAAACGTGTTTGCATGACGCAGCACTGCTGGCTCCTTGGGAAGACGTGAGACCTGGGGATTCTGAACCCTCAGCGTGGCCTGTGGACCCCCAAAGGCTTCTGCTGAAGCCTCAAAGGCCTGTTAGCAGGCGTTTCCTCAGCAGCTGACAAAAACTAAGTAAGTGCAAAGCAGGGTTCGGAGCGAGTGCTCTGAGCATGTCCCCCGGGCCTCCTGGCGGCAATGGGGGCTGCTGTCCTCAGGCCTGAGGAGACTGCAGGGGGACAGACGCAGGGGGCGAGCAGCCCCCTCCTCTGAAGAGAGGTGGCCCACAAGATAATCTGCTTCCTCCCAACTTCTTGGGGTCTGCTCTGCATTTCCGCAGCAGACGTGGAGCGGAGCGGCGCGGGGCTCACTGGCTGGCCCTGCAGGGCTCTGGCACAGCGCTGAGCTAGGACCGCAGGATGGGAGGACAGGGCGCGGCCGCAGAGCTCCCACCCACAGTCCTCCGCCCTCCAGCCTGAAGTGGACTGGTGGGTTTTGCTGGGCAAGAGTGGACCAGAGCCTGGAAAGCGCTGCTCAAATGAGCACGCTTAACTGGGATGAGCTTTTCTAGAATCCATGAAGACAAAGCCCTTCTCGGTACTCAAGTTCCCCATAGTTCGTTGAGACGCTGCGCACACATGTGCACATTTCTTTGTGAATACATGACTTCAAAATATATTTATGGACATCCCTAATATAAAAGTTCTCTGCCGGCTTTTCCTGGCTCAGAAGTTTGGTAAAATGTTTAGTGCTACGGTCGATGCGTGCGTGGGTGAGCCCAGTGCCCTGCTGGGCAGGATGTAAAACCCTGCTGTTCGTCGTAACTGCTGTGTGGTCAGGAGCCCGGCTGGGCGGGCCCTGGAGAAAGCACAGGCAGCCTGGCTCTCGGTGAGGCGTTGCTAAGGCCAGACTTGGGAGCTCTGCCTCAGCCGCCCACCAACAGAGGCACTAACTACGCCGTGTCACAGAGACGATGAAGTGGGTACATGGTGTTCCTAACAGTGCCGACCCACCAAACGCGCTCACTAAATGCCAGCTTTTTTTTTTTTTTTGGTTTTTGGTTTTTTCCGGAACCAGGAATTGAACTCACGACCTTGCGCTTGCCAGGCAGGCGCTGTGCCGCTGAGCTAAATCCCCAGCCCAGTGCCATCTATTGTTATCAACTGTTATTATCACTGTGTACAGCAAAAGGAAAATCTGATGAATGAAAAATAGTAATTGTCTCCACCAGATGCTTTGCAGATATTGCAAAGAATTAATCACTTGCAATACCGTTTCCAAAGAAATGCATTTTCTAGCTACAGTGCAGGTCTTTCACCTTGCTTTTCTAAGTGTTTCTGAGAGAGAGCAGGCACCGTCTGGTCAGCGTCAGGAGTCTTCCCATTGATGCCACTGAGTCTGGGCAGCGGCGGGCCCCAGCGTGCACCTGGGTTCCAGGTGCGCTCCACACTAACCGCATCGTGACTCCTGCTCTCATGTTATAATCAGCTCGTATAAACACATCACCTTATATTGCTAAATCAATAGGAACTGTTTAAAGGAAAGATAAATAGTTATTTACTTAACCAATGTAGTATGTTTCTAAATTTAACAGACTCATGACGTTCTGCTCAGCCAGATGTGTCCTACAGAAACTGTAACCTACTTGCCAGTATCTATGGCTTTTACACCAAGGCGTCCAATTCAAGGCCCTCTGTGAACTCTTTAAAAATGTGCCTTTCTGACTTCCACAGTGTGCTTTTCCAGCCAGGCTTCTGGCTTACAGGGCTTGTCAGACTGCTGTGCTATTCTTTTTTGTTTGCTTATTTTTTGAGACAGAGTCTGGCTGTGTAGTTCATGCTGGCCTTGAACTCTTGGAAGTCCTCCTGCCTCAGCCTCCTGAGTGCTGGGATTATAGGCATGTGCCACCATGCCTCGCTGCTTTGCTGTTCTTGTAAGAATGTGCCAGATCTGATAATGCAGATAAAATGCTTCCACTTGGACAAAACACAGGAAGTTTAACAAGGTTAAACTATATAGAAAAGTAAAATAGTACCTGAGTTTAAAATGGCTTTAAGGAATTCATAGCTGTCAAGATGGCGTAATTCTGTATGAAAGAAAAGATATTTTTCACAAAAAAATTTCAAAGTAACTTGTTACACTGTATGATGCAGAATAAATGCTGAATTGAACTTAGTTCTAGTTCCCACACTAAGTGGCGGGCCATGCCCTCTCCCCTCGCCCCGCAGCTGGCCAGGGTCAGGTCCAGAGCCCCTTAATACAGCGGGGTGCCCGTGCACCCCACCACAAGGGCAGGCAGTGTTTGTCCTGCCCGTCGGCATCCCCCACGTAGGACAGTGCCTGGCATGAAATGGGCATCCAGGAAGTAACAATGCAGTGTGGAAACAGCAGGCTGGGGCATTCCGGGAAAGGCCCGTCCCCACCCAGGGCCCACCGAGAGCTAGGAGCGAGGAGGCGCCAGGCTGTAGCCAGAGGCAGCGCCCCACTCCCCCGGGGCCACGTGTGGGCGCCGTGAGGGCCTTGCCAGGCAGGGGAGGGAGGTGGTGGCCTGGAGCCTGCAATCGGAAGTGGGCAAGGACAATCGGCACAGCTTGGCTGTCCCCTCAGTCCCGAGTGCTGGGCCAGGCTGTCCCAGCTGTGCTCTTCCGTGTGTGGTTAAGATGGGAGACAGAGCGCCTAGCCTGGGGTGGTGGGGCGCTGTTTTAACTATTCTAAGATGGGGAAAATGTTCACCTGTCGGTGACAGAAAACCAATTTCCCTCCATGCCAGAATAATTCCTACCCCTCAGGAACAGCCAGTCTTCCGTCTATTCATTACTGTCTTTTTACAGTATTTTTATTTAATAAAACCTATTAAGACTACCATACAAATCTCTTCACTTATGCTTTTATCTTTTAACTGATCAATTTTTATATTGCTGACACCCCTTCTTCGCCATTTGCTCATTTAAAAATTCATAGTATGTGAGCCATGTCTCCGGGGAAAACGTCCATAAAATTCGTTACAGCTGGCAAATGTGTATGAGTCAGTGATAGCACATGACTAAATGCTTCACAGAAAATAAAATTTGTTTCTGTAGTAAGCAGAACTGTTTAAATGTTATTTATTTTTATGTTTCAAAGAAAATATATTGTGAAGTGCTGCATTGATTTAATACGCAACAATGTCTGTGTACACGCTGCGGAAGGAAAATTTATGAAACCTTTGCACAACTCCTTTAATTGAATTTTCCAAATCTCTCACCACACACAAATAATCAATATCTTCTGCAGAGAAAACCAGTCAGAATTATTACCGTCTTTCTTTTCAATTTTGTTGTCATCAGCACATAACGGCACCTGGATATTTGTAATGTCGCTAGCGAGTTATTTACGCCTCTTAACACATTATTGCTATTATAAGTGAGCCCAAATGTAGAATTTTAACATTTTTTACTGACTTTATTCAAAACAAAAATTATCATAATCCTGGTAAAATTATAAAAAATTTAAATCACGGAAGTAATTATTAAAAAGGCTTTTGAGGATGAACGAACCAGTTAGTTTTCCCTAGACCCTAAGTGCGTCTCCAGCGAGCATCTGTAGCGGGTGAAGTGCAGCCCAGCTGCGGACACCGCAGGGCAGGGCCATCCTGAGTGGGGCAGCGGGCAGTGCTGCCCCAGACCTCGGGGCGCTGCGGTGCGCGTCGCAGGTGCCCGCAGCCCCTGAACTAATAGCTCCCTCTTCATCTCCAGATAAATGCAGAGCGTTGTGCAGGAGGGGAACTTTCGTTATTTCTCCTAGAACTCATCGTGTCTACACTTCAGACCTCAGTGCTTCTAGAACTGAAGCATCTGCTTGAAAAAAGATATTGTTTGGGCTATAGCAGAAAAAACAAAAGGCTGGCAGCATTCTGGGAGCACAGGTATTTAGCTGATGTGATGAATACTTTTCCGAGACTGAGTAGGGGTAAAGACAACATATTCTTATGTATAAAAATACTTCAGTGGGCGGTGAGAACGAGAAGGCAGCCTCAAACTATTTCAGTCCTTCAGGAGGGCTTAGCATCACACTGCAGTCTACAGGCTGATAACTAAATCTTCTTACGAAGGTGAGTTTTACAGTGTAAGCACAGAGCAGATTAACTAAAGAAAACGGGAAGATTATAACTGTGCTTTTTCTTAAACAGTAGAGCTAGAAACTCTGAAATATTTTCTATTACAAACAGCTGAAACAATCCACTCTTTTGAACAATGTGAAGTTCAGACGGTTGTACTTCATTTAAAATATGCATACTGCAGCCTACACAACTATTCTCAAAACAGATATGTTTTGGACGGAAGCTAAGTGTCCGGGCTTCATATCTTGGCAGCTGCTCTCCAGTTTGCTTACATTCTTTTCAAAAACGTTTTGTTTACTGGAAGTACTAGGCAGAGACGAACAATGATGGCATTTTTAAGTATCTCCAGAAAGAATGAAAATACTGAGGCCCACAGAATGCCATCTATTGACGAAGGAATATCTGCACCAAGTTGTTTTTAGAGGTTGACTGTAAAGCAAATAAATTTCATGCCTCCCATGTGACAACAATGTGACATTCCGTCGGCAGCAGCCACTGAATGGTCGTATGTCTTCAGTCCTCGGCACAGCAAATTTAAAATAATCTCACAGGAAAAGAACCTCTCATTTTATTACTGTCCCAGTAGTCATAAAGCCAATATTATTAGGCAGAGTGAGGTTAGACCCGATGCCTACGGGCGTGGAAGGAAGAAACCTTGCTTTGTTTGGGAACACGCGCTGAGTGGAGGAGAGGCTCGTGTGCCCACGCTCCCCGCCGGCCGGGCCCTGTCTGCGAGGTCCCCGCCCGCGCTTGACCCCTAGCGAAGTTTCGGGTGCCTTTTCCCCTTATCAGTGTCCCTCCGGTAGCTGCTAATGCCTCCAACAGCGATGTGTGTCAGGGACGGTTTATTTATAAGGCTGCAGTGAGGTTTCATGTTATACCCTTGTCCTGTAATCATGACTGTAGGTGACCTTGCGTGCAGGGACCTCATACCGAATGAAAAATAAACAGAACTGAAAGACCAAGGAGGAACCATGACACCATAAACGCCCGTGTCCTTGGCATTATCTACTTTGATTATCTTGGGAAAATTCTGTAAGAATCTGAGGAACAAAAATGTCATCGGAGAATCGTTACCGTCATCAGCATCTGAGGGACACGCTTCTGGTGAGAAATAAATCAACGGCTCATTCTCATCTTCATCATTACCCACGTGAAACAAGTACAGGGATCCCTGTGTGGCAGTGTTACATTTTATAGAACGTCTGACGTTAAGAAGAATCACAAAACATTTAAGAAATTTCAATTCTGGGTAATAGTACAGTAAAAGAAAAGTAGAAATACCTATGAAAAGCTGGAAGCCAAATCTTAAAATACGTAACACACATGGCAAACTAGTTTAAGAATATCAAAAGTAAAAATAAAAGCAAAAAACCCAAAAACCAATAAACAAAGTATTCTTAAAATGAATGGCTAACAGGAAGGGGTGAAAGTTGTTAGCTTAGTACAAAAACGTGTGAGAGTGGGGGTGTGCCCTTTTGCTCGTGTGTCCACGTCATCTTTAACGACAACAACCCCAAACTAAGTATCTATAAGTCAGGCAGGAAAGAAAGAAGTGGGAAAGACCCTTGGCAAAGCTGGGTAACTCCAACCCAAATTACCAAGAAAAAAGCTTTCCTCTATTCTTTAGGCAGCAATAATGTGTTGGAAATCTAATGTGCAGTTTTGAATATCTCAGAAAATAGAGCTAACGTAGCTCTTACCAAGAAACAGAAATGGAAGATGATTAAAATGTATTATATTAATGTGATACGTATCAATGTGATTACATATAATGTAATATGTATAACGTGATACATATCAGTACATAATAAATATATGAAAGTGTTTTGTTACATATTTTAGAATTCAATTTTCTTTTTTTTTTTTTTTTTTTTAATTTTTATTTTTTTGGTTTTTCTCCGGTACCAGGAACCAAACTCACGACCTTGCGCTTGCCAGGCAGGCGCTTTTGCCGCTGAGCTAAATCCCCAGCCCCTAGAATTCAGTTTTCATTTAAACATGACAGGTAATCCGTGCTTATTAGAAAGTTAAATACACGACCTAGTGGTGCAACTTCCTCTGTGAATGAAGGAAACCCAGCCCTCTGGGAAGCACGACAGCGGGCTGGTCAGCCTTGCGGACTACAGGGACGCATGCCAGCCTGAAGGCTCATCTTGCCTTGGATAGACAAGGACCTCAGGGACAAAAGCACTCCCTGGAGAACGTCTTCAGGACCAGGAGTTTTGGAAAAATTTCTTTAGGTTCACTGATTTGTTTTACAATTTTCCCCTTCCTCGTTTCTCAAAACAGCTGATAAACATCAACTATGGCGCCTCATTCTAATAGCTCTAAGAAACTAAACATTTGAAAAATCAAGCTACTGGCACCAACATACAGAGATGTTTCTTTCCACTGGGAGAAAATAAACACTGACGTTTCGCACTGCAGCGCGCTGGCCCCGGTCAAGTGTGGAGAGGTGATGCTAACTAAGCAGCTCCCTTGGCCCTAGGAGGAGTGGCTGCCGCCTCCAGGAAGCACCTGCCTGTGCCCCGCACTGGCCGCAGCTGCCTGCTGCGCCCTCCCCACACCCACTGCTCGCTGCAGGCCACAACCGGGGCAACCCTGCGCGGTTCTGTGTTGCGCCGAGTTCCCACAGCTGGGCGACTGGGTGATTTCCTTATTTCTGGAAGCAGCAGCAAGAGAGCCTACTTCTGGGGTCATGCTGACCCTTGGTCAGAACCCTCCTCTGTACCCTGAGGGGCAGTGTCTCTGGGCAAGTGAATTAGTATTTTTGTGTCTTGTTTCTCGTGACAATGCAAATAGCTATCTTCCAGTGCTCCTGTAGACACCCGCTGACCCTCACACTGGGCACACAGTAACCAGAGGTCCCCAATAAGCGGAGTCCATGGTATCTACAACACAGACCAAGACATGGCCAGCTGAGGGTGACTCTGCGGGCAGAGGTGGCTGTGGGCCATGTCTATGTCAGCATCAGAACAATCGCCACTGGTTGGCCTCCAGGTGTCACTAGTTTATGGTCCATGATGCTTTCACTTACTGAGGTGCAGACGTGTCTTTCCAGTGGGAAAATTGCTAGCTTACTTCCCCATCCTGTGAAATGTCCAGAAGCCCAAGCTCATGGCAGAGCAAATGTCAAACTGTCATAAGTGATTTCAAAGTTCCAGGACACTGCTTAGAAAGAAACTGTGAGTGCTTTGTACATCCTGATCCACAATGAAAAACTGGTATATTAGTGAACTGTGGTTGTTTTGTATGTATTCTGAAAAAGAAATTATAATAAAAGGCAACATTTAAAATTGTGTTTAAATGGATCAAAGATCTAAATATTAAAACAGAAACATTAAATCTGCTGGTAAAACTTCTTTTTTTGGTTTTTCTCCGGTACCGGGAACCGAACTCACGACCTTGCGCTTGCCAGGCAGGCGCTTTGCCGCTGAGCTAAATCCCCAGCCCTCTGCTGGTAAAACTCTTGAAGACACTGGTGTAGGCAAAGAATTTATGATCAAAACCCCAATCGCACAGGAACTACCACAAAGAATCAACAACTCATCTTATTACCTCATCTTATTAGAAAGTTTTTTCACAGCAAGAGAAACCACTAACAGAGTGAAGAGACAGCCCACAGCGTGGGAAAGAATTTTTGCCAGCTGCTCTTCAGACAAAGGATTACTATCTAGAATATAACAGACTAAAAAAAATAAGACCTCTCAAATTTAAAGAACCAATCCAAAAATGGGCATCTCAGATGAATATATACTTCTCAGATGAAGAAATACAAATAGCAAACAAATATATGAAAAACTGCTCAACATCATTGGTCATTTGAGAAAGGCAAATTAAAACAACACTGCGACTCCATCTCACCCCAGAAAGAATGGCTATCATCAAGAAATCAATAACAAATGCTGGAGGGGCTGTGGGGAAAAAGGAGCCCTTCTCCACTGTTGGTGGGAGTGTAGTATAGACTGGTGCAACCACTGTGGAAATCCATGTGGAGATTCCTCAAAAAACTAGGATTGAAGGTTCCACTTGACCCAGCTATTCCCCTTCTTGGTATCTTCCTGAAAGAATTAAAAGCATCATACTACAGGGATACAATGGCATAGTTTGTAGTAGCCAAATCTTGGAAACAGCCCAAATGTCCATCAGCTGGGGAATGGATAAAGATATGTTGTTTTTTTTTTTAATACAATGAAGTACTACTCTGCCATAAAGAAGGATAAATTTGAGACATTTCTAGGTAAATGGATGTACCTTGAGATCAGATACATACGTGTAAATACTGTACTTTCTCGGGTGTGAGAAACTGAAAATGTTAATAAGAACCAAAGTATGTAATAGAGGGGCTGGGGGTTTAGCTCAGTGGCAGAGCACCTGCCTAGCAAGCGCGAGGTCATGAGTTGGATTCCTGGTACTGGCAAAAAAAAACAAAAAACAAAAAACACAATACCCCCTCACCCCCCAAAAAAATGTTTTGGGGCTGGGGATTTAGCTCAGCAGCACAGCACCTGCCCGGCAAGTGCAAGGTTGTAAGTTCGAGTCCCGGTACCGAAAAAAAAAAACACACACAAAAAAAAAAAAGAGGAAAAAATGGAAACAAAGGTTTTGTAAAATGGTGAGGGGAGAAGTGGTTGAAAGAAGGGTAGGGAAATGGGGAAAAAAGAATCAAGTTATATCATGTGCAGGTATAAATTCTCTATGACAAAGTGATCACCATGTATATCTAAAATATACCAATAAAGTCTGATAGAGAAAGATTGTGTTTAAATAGATTTAAAAGTGCAGTCATGAAGTTACCAGACGTGGTCTTCTGCTAAGTGAAAAGCACGACCTTTTAAAATACACTAAAAAGGACTTAGCAGGACTGGTTTTATCTGGGGATACAACACAAAAGCTTCTCTTTATATAGTAAAATTCAATTCCTTACCTTGGTGAGCAAGTCCTGAATTTTTCTTTTCCAACAGTTTTTGTTTTGTTACTTTTGTCACTGAAAGAAAAAAAAAAATCCCATGTCAGGAATTAATATGGAATATGAATAATTTCTCAGAATAACTGCGTAAGAAAAAAGAATTCAAAGTATGCATATCTGTAGGTATCACGTATAAAGTACAATGGTTTCTTTTTTTTGGTCTTTTTTAATACAGGGTCTCACTATGCTGTTCAGGCTGGCCCTGAACTCACTTTGTAGTCCAGGCTGGCCTCAAACTCACAGCAATCCTCCTGCCTCAGCCTCCCAAGTGCTGGGATTACAGGCATGCACCACTCTACCTGGCTATACAATGGTTTTTTAACTACTGTATTTTAAAAATGAGCTCTGTAGCCAGATGTGGTAGTATGTACCTGTCATCCCAGTGCTCTGGGAGACTGAAGCAGGAGGATGACAAGTTCAAGCCCAGCCAGGCAACTTAGGGCTGGGGATGCAGCTCGATGTGAAGGCCCTGGGTTTAGTTCTACATAAAAACCCACTAGTGGTTTCTAAGACAGTCTTTTTCTCTACACTTGAAAGGTGTCCCTGAAGTGACATATCCTGGCAAAAGACACACAGCTTCTTCCTAAAGAGGACAGCGGTATTTCCGGCACACATCCATGGTGGTGTACACACAAAGAAGTCTCTCATATTTACACTGGAGAAAAGTTAAGAGGCTTATCTTTAAAGTTACTACCCTTGAAAATTCAAAAGGTTTTCTTACGTAGTTCTTTGGCTTTCTTTACTTCTCTTTTTAAGAAACGTGATGTACAAGGTGTGCCAATGAGGTTTTCAAACTCCTTGTTGCCCTGTAAAGCCTAAAAGGAAGCAATCTGAAATGAGTTAACTGTGTCTCTACAAGAGTGTGATGACTGATGAGAGAACATGCATTACACGCTGGTTCCTCCATTTGAAAAATTTAGGGCTGGAGATATATCTCAGTGGCATATGCGCCTGCCTGGCAGGTGCAAGGTCCTGAGTTCGATTTCTGGTACCAAAAGATAAAAAACACATGAAAGTGGGTTATTTCATTTAAAGCCAGCTGTGGTGGTGCACGCCTGTAATCCCAGCACTCGGGAGGCTCAGGCAGGAGGAGCACTGTGAGTTCAAGACAGGTCTGCGCTACACAGTGAGTTCGAGGCCAGCCTGAACTGCACAATGAGGCCCTGTCTCAAAAAGTTTAAAAGAAAAAAGGAAGAAAGAAAAATTTAAACTTGATGTTAGGAAATTAACTGTTTCTGGTATGTCAAATATTGTAAGCCTTAGAATTCCTGAACATAAACAACTTACTGACTGAAAAGATTAAACATAATCTACAAATTTACTTTCAAATGTGAAAAAGCCAGCTGTTGCAGTACTAAAATACGGCTAAGAGGCAGTCATCTGAGCAGAGCGACCAGAGCAGTCCACAAGCACAGCCCTGCACAGCCCCAGCGGCTGGTGGTCAGGATGGGCTTGGCCCCTGCCGTCCCGCAGGCAGGGCAGCATGGTGTGAAAAATTACGCAGACATACAGAAATAAACAAAATCAAAAGCCAACCTGTAGGCTCTTCAGGCTCTGCATTATCTCTGTGATTTCTTCTGTGCACTTCTCAGCTTTAGAGAAGACCACCATGAATCTAGGAAGGAAGGAGCGCCAGAATAAGGGTTCGCACACGGCAAGCCCCCTCAGGGCTTTCATGCTGCTGAAAGAGACCGACTCCCTCTCAGCCTTTCTTCACGTCTTCCAAAGCGGTAAACGATGTCAAGGCTCCCCGGCTCCTCCGCTCCTCCGCTCCACGCCTGTCTCCCGGTCCTCCCTGGGCGGGGCGCGCCGGGCTTATCCTCTCTCCGGGACACCGCTTGGGAGGCTGGGACACCCTGTCCCCTTATTTGTCTTGGTCCGAGCCTGTGAAGTGTGGCACTCAATGACTTTTTAAAAATAACTGAGTTTTATGGATTATATATTTCTTATAATAAGATTTACAATCTTTTATATTTGAAAATGAAAGAAAAATAAGACCTATAATCCCACCTTGTGAACATATCTCTACTTAGTATTCTGGAGAATTTCTCCTGGGCTTTAAAAAATTTTAAGTTTACCACGCTTTCTTTACTCAGTATAAGAACATCACACATTTGGGGGCCGTGCAGTCCACACAGCTATAGTTCTGGAGGCTGCACAACAGCCTGTCTGGTAAACACAACAAGACGACTGAGCCATCCCTTCCTTGTAGCAATTTTACTTCCTTCTCCAATTTTAAGACCTCATCAATGTATACGATAACACAATGTAATTGAAAGCTATACAGGAAATTTAAAGTTTTTAGTAGCTACATGGGGGAGTAAAAAGAAAGAGGTGAACTTAATTTTAATAATGTATCCAAAACACTATTCTGTCAACGCAGACTTGCTTGAAAAGGTGGCATGGTGACGTTCAGCATTCTCTCATTTTCCTCAAAAAAGGAAATCCTTATCACTTTGAAGAACAACTGAAATTAGATTCTTCAGCCAAATACAATCCATGGGAGACCCTGGATATATCCATTACTTAAACTTTTAGCTCCTTCTATGTGAATTTCTTTGGTCTCACACAAGTGATGTGCAACTTGTCTTTTAAAACTATCATTCTGCTCTATTATGTGTGATAAAGAAAATACAGTGAATATTCATATTACAAATTTTATTACAGTAAAAGACACTGCCATTCATCCTCCTCAAGTTATTCCCCTTTGTGTGCACACTTATGCCATCATTCCTGACCCTTATGAAGCAGGTGTGGAAGTCTTAGGACCACACACGCACATGCAGCCACACATAAGCATGTGCACACACATGCATATTCAGTCAATGTTGGAAGGACATTATATGATTCTACTGAGCCCCAGTGCTTCTTAACTCTCCTTTTACTTTTTTTTTTTTTTTTAAGACAGGGTTTTGCTCTATAGTCCAGGTTGGCCTTGAGTTCACTATGTAGTCCAGACCAGCCTCAAACTCACAGCAATCCTCCTGTCTCAGCCTCCCAAGTGCTGGGATTAAAAGCGTGTACCACCATGCCAGATTACTTGTTAATTATTTGTTCTTTCACAAATTATTGAGAAAAGTAATACTCTAACCAACCTCTCCTTCCTCCATATTAAACTTAAAACTTACATTTGTACCTTCTCTATTAATACAATACTTACTCTCTAAGGACACAAACTCTTAATTGATTCTATTCCTAAAAATTGTTATCCTAAGTTGACCTCTAAGAAATTGTATTTTTTATAACATCTTAAGACCTGAGAATTACATGTGGATAACAGGGATGAAATCAAGTTCTTATTCTCACAATACTATGCCTCAGACAGAAAAAAGTAAATAAGTCAGCTGACTATTTTGGGTGATGATACTTGGATTATTATCACAACAAAATATATTCAAACACTGTTAAGTGCTTTCTAAGTTCAAGGCACTGTACTTGTTACTTGTACAAGCTATGCTTTAATTTTCAAAACAAGTCTGGAATAATTATCTCATATACATATAAAAGCACAAAAATTATTTGATTATCTAGAGTTATATAACTAGTTGGATGAACCCAGGTGTGTCTGACCTATGTTGTGAAACTGTTACAAATTATCTACGAAAGTGCAAATAATTCACTTACTACAGGCATCAGAATTTCTTGGTGAAAGAATTAAAAATGGGGGCTGGGGATTTAGCTCAGTGGCACAGCACCTGCCTGGCAAGCGCAAGGTCGTTAGTTCGATTCCTGGTACCAGAAAAAAAAAACCAAAAAAAAGAAAAGATAGTGCTAAAAGCACAAATTCCTGGGCTATATCCAAGCTCTGCTCACTGAGAACATCTCTAGATGGGAGCTAGAAATAATGATTTCCAGGTGGTTCTCAAGTACAGCAACAGTGATTAAGCACATTTTCTCTGAAGATTGGTCAAATTTTTAAAATCTGTGGTCAGTACAAAAACTGAACACTTTGTGAAAAAAATTTCTCTCGTGTTTAGGCCTGTTTATTATATTACACATTTTAGCAGGTGTTCGAACTTCATTCCTTTTTAATAGTGAGTGATATTCCACTGATGAGTATGTTACATTTTGTATAACCATTCATTTGCCGATAAATATTTGCACCAGCATGAACATTGTGAAATGCAAAGGTATTGTGAAATGCTGAAACCTATGTGGTGTGCAAACACTTGTTTGAGTCACAAGGTTCTATTTTTTTGTGCATGTACAAATGAATGAGACTGGTTAGTCAGTAATTCTATGTTTAAACTTTCTAGGAACCACCAGTCTGTTTCCATAGGAACTACAATGTACAAGCATTCCAGTGTCTCCACACCCTTGCCACATGTATTTTTCGTGTTCTGTTTAAATAGCCTAGTTCATTGTGGCTTTGATCTGCATTCCTTTAATGACTAATGATGTTCAGTATCTTTTTATGTACTTTATGTGGCTACTCTTACCCCCAAACCATACTGTTTTGATTACTGTAACTTGGTAGTGAGTTTTGAAATGTGGTAGTCAGCATGAGTCCTCTGACTTTCTTCTTCTCTTTCAAGGCTGTTTTGATTGGAGTCTCTTGCAGCTTTGTGGAAATTTGAGGGTGGGCTTTTCCATTTCTGTAAAAAAATGCTACTGAATCATTCTGTAAAAACTGACAGGGATCACACTGACTCTGGAGATTGTTTTGGGTAGTGGTATTAACACCGTAACAACATTAACTCTTCCTGCCCATGGATACAGGATGTCGGTCTTTCCATTTACTTGCATGTTCTTTAATTTCTTTCAGCAATGCTTTGTAGTCTTCTGAGTTTCTCACCGAGTATTTTATTTTCACCCAGATGCTTCTGTAAATGAAATTGCTCCCTCAATTCCCTTCTCAACTAGTCACTATAGGTGCACAGAAACACCACCCATTTTTCTGTGTTCTTCTTGTACTCTACAATACTGCTGAAATTATTAGCTCTGTCATCTGCAAAAAAAGATCATTTTAATTCATTCTAACTAAATTTCCCTCTCTTTTTTATTGGACATCAGCTCAAATTTCCAGTATAACACTGAATACCAGTGTTGAAAGTTGGTGTCCTTGTCTTGTTCTTGATTCCTGGGGGTAAGCTTTTAGTCTTGCATATCAAAAAATTTTAACAGTTGAAAATAAGTCTATTTTAAATACTGATTTTCCTCCTAGTCTTCACTCACCTATAGAATATAAACGTACCTTTATCCTAAGTTTTGATAAAAACTCTCAATTAGCTGGGCAGACTGGCACACACCTGTAATCCTAGCACTCAGGAGGCTGAGGCAGGAGGACTGTCAGGAGTTTCAGGCCAGCCTGGACTACATAGTGAATTAAAGACCAGCTTGGACTACACATGAGACTCTTGTCTCTAAAAACGTAAAAAACAAAAAACAAAACCTCAACTAAGTTACTCCTAGAGACCTTTATTTAAGCAGAAACTGAATTAAGTAAATACTCTTTTTACATGATTAAATATACAGTAAAGCTGGCTACGGCACTGCATGCCTGGAATCCCGCTATTTGGGAGGCTGTCCCAGGGGATGGCAAGTTGGAGGACAGTCTGGGCCACTTATTTGGAGACCCATGGGTGGGGGTGGGGGTCTGGGGATGTAGACTGGTGGTAGACTGCTTGTGGGTTAAGTTCCCAGTATCAACAAAAAGGTTACTCTTTTACCTACAAGTGAATAAACAATGATTAAAAATAAGTTCTGTACAACAGGAAGGATCCTTGTGATATTGGACATGTTCTGTGGTTTGACTGTGATGGTGGATACAAGAACTTACACATGTGATAAAACTGTATAGAACTCAAAACACGCGTGCGCACACACATGCGCAGAGTTAAGCGTGAAATGGTATCCTGTGTCAGCGCCAATTTCCTGGTTGTGATCTCTTACTACCGTTCCGTAGACGTCAGGAAGCTGAGAAAAGGGTATACGTGGTCCGTTTTACTTCCCACAATGGCACATGTATCTACAGTGATCTGAGAGTAAAATGCTGCAAATAACCCTTCTGGGAGTCACGCTACCACTGCATCTTCAAAGCAGAGCCAGCTAGAGCAGCATGCTGCCAGGGCAGGAGAGCCGACGGCAGAGAGTTACACATAGCCCCTGCAGAACGTAAGGGATACGGACGCTAACATGAAATACTGATGTGTAGGTGTTTGTTTGTAAATGGGCATTACTGACGTGCTACCAACTGCTTGCTTTCTGAAAAAAAAATCTAGAACATGGAACTGTATTTTCCTTTAGGGAGAATTCTCACATTTAAAATTCTCCAAGTTAAAAAAAAATAATGAAAAAGGAAAATCAAGTTCTCCCAGCAGACCGATAGGGAGTGATTTCGTAAGTTAAAAAAGCAGTGTACAAAAGGGCATATGTTACATGCTATCCTCTATGTAAGAAAAAAATGAAACTGCTTAATTTTGTAAAAATAAACATGTGAAAGGTAAACGAGAAATGACTGAATTTAGTTATCCACAAGGTAAGCAGAAGGAACAGCAGAAGGGATACCATTTCCTGTTTTTTATTTTTTGAGGGATGTATAGTTTTGACTTTTAGAATTATATTAGTAAAAAAAATTAAATCACCAAGCATGAGAGAAAATAAATACATACAGAA